CAGCAACCAGGGAGACTGGGATTCAGGAACCAACAGTGTCTAAACTCTGCTGCTGAAGGGTCCCTACCATACATATAAATATACACACACACATATATATGCATGTATGTGTATGACCTCATCCTGCTCAGACAGGGAAGGGAGCAGGATATGGCTGTGTCTGCTGTGCTCCTGTATGTGTATGTCTGCCTGATTGGTGTGGCCAGTCATGTTTATATGTAAATGTCATGTGTGCAGGTGCTCTATGGGCTTGTAGCTACCAGCAATATATTTTCAGCCTTATTACTGGTCATATTTGGGGCATGAAGCTGCAACAGCCTCAACGTGTTGGATCCAGCATAGTATTTTTCCTGTAACAAATCCAGTCAGAAATAATTACACCAATTTCAGGGATAGCATTTTATACCTACAGTCATCACAATATTCTGTGGAGCAGTCATTGAGTTTTAGGGCCACAGGATAGAGATGCTATTTTGTATTAACCAGTTTGCTTCTGAACAATGACAATACAGAAATAAATGGGAGTTTTTTTCAGCAAGTGAGTAATTTGTACAACTGAGAACAGACACAGAACTCAAGAGCAGACAGTACCCCATGTTCATGGCCCAAAAGTTCCAGTCATGATAAAAGAAACAAACCAGAGACTGTTGACATTGCCAGAGATTTTGCTACAATTTTACCTAAGGCAGGTAGAAATGCTTGCCTGCACCAAAACTGAACCCCTGGTTTATCAAGAGAACAGATTCATCAGTAAAAGTCACAGCAATACTACAGACTCCCACCAGCTTAAGTAACCCAGTTCTAAGCAGCTTAAAGCTGACAAGAAACAGCAGTGCTGCACTGGAGAACAACATCTTGTTTAGATCACTGTGAACACCAGTTTTGAGGACTTGTTTGTGATAAACATGAATTGGCAGCACAGCATTGAACTGGCTTGCACCTACTGAATCCTGATCAGAGGGAGTTACAACCATCCCATTACTGGCTAGTATAAGGTATTTGAAATCTTTAAGTTCACTACCAAGACGTACACTCTTCCCCCAAATGCTTCTTGCAGACACATTCCCTTGAAGGTATGAACTAGATTCTTTACAAGCTGCATTTCAGCACCCAGTAAACCACACTCCTGTTTTCAGTAACGCCCACATGGCGCTAGAACGCGCCCATTCAAGCCTACCTGCTACGAGTTATAAGAAACTGTAAATGCTGGAGCTGCAGCAACAAACTGTTCTTCAGCCATTCTTACATTTAACCCGTGGTAAAGATTCAGTAACAAAGACCTAGGCTTTGCTACAGATGTATATGTGGGAGAACAACGCAGAGTGTATACACATGTAACTATACATAGGCAAAACAGAACAGCTGTCAACTTGTGAAAAACACTCAAGAGGTGTTGATTACATTTTTTGTCAGCAATCCCCTGAATAAAAAGTAGATACATGACAGGACTTTTCTGTCACACAGCACAGAAAGACACTACTACAGGAGCATAAAGGAGGCTTATTCACTTGCTAAAAAGAAGCACTAGCTGAAACTACACTCACAACCTGGAAACAACAGCTATCAAAACCAGCTGTGCCAGTGTAACACACCCACAGCAGCAGTCAGCAGTTTATTACAGCAGTCTAAAGTTTACCACTAACAACAACCAGACAGCCCTGACTGGGCTCAAAAATCCCACGTTTTGGACATTTAAAAAAAAAAGCAAAAACCAAGCACCAACCCAAAATCCACAAGCATTTAAAGAGCTGAAAACGTAGTCATGTTACAACCAGAAGTGTTGAGCAATGTGCACAGTAGAAGAGTTAAAATACAAAACCCATTCTTTCTTTAGATAATGTTTTGCCACTTTGGAGAATGATTAACAGCAGCAATCCACAGGAAATTCTGTTAATCCAACATAAACTCTAGATTAAGCTGCATACAGAACGGTATCTAGTCCCATTTTCTATGCCATAACCAGCCCCACTGGCCTCCAACTCCTTCTCCTTCAGTAGCAGTCTCCCAGAGCTTAATGTTAGCTGTACAGAGATGTCTGTAATAATTAGCAGCATCTATGTCAGCTCCAGACCTCTGTCCTTAAGCAGCAGAACACGGCCAAATTTACTTTAGGAAAAGTTTACCTAATGTTATTTTTGATAGGAAACTAGCTTAAATTCTTTTCTTAGCTTTAGTGAAGAAATATAGTTCAGTGCCAAGATGATAAAAGATGAAAGTGGTGTCAGAATCTAGACCAAAAGTGAGATTAAGAAAAGAAAATATTGAAAGAAATGGACTGTTGCAGGAAAAAAATGTTTTTCAGATATAGAACATCTTTTAGCTTTCTTGCTGATGCAAATACACAGAAACACATGCTACAGCTGCAGCCAGAAAGCACTTATGCCCACAAAAAGTCTGACACAGCTTGGGCACTGCCAGCTTTCAGCCCAGAGCCTTGCTTTATACTAAAACCAAATTCACATCACAGTCAGAGCCCTGACTGTTGCAGGATGAACAGGTGGTAGTTCAGAAAGTGTTTAATCAACTGAGAGCTACACACCTGCAAGAGCAGCAGCTGCTTTTGGAGGAACAAGGCACATACCTGGGAGGGTGGAGGAAAGAGAGAAACTCCTGCTTCCCCTCTCCAGCAGCCATACCATGCCATGGAGTCCAAACTTCCAGCTCCCCATGAAGTCAGTAGTTTGACAAGAGCATTAATCCTGCAACATACAATGTATTTTATATTTCTCAAGAGTTACCAGAACTTTTGGGAAACACTTCCCCAACACTGAAGATTGCAAAATGGAAATGCACCCAACTGGATGTGGCACTCAGTGCTATGGTCTAGCTGACAGGTGGTCATGGGTCAAAGGTTGGATTCCATGATTTTAGAGGTCTTTTCCAACCTAAATGATTCTGTGATTTCTGTTAAGAATGAACCACTGGTGAGAGGCCAGGGAAAAAAGGCAAAGTTAACTAATAATAAATGATCTTTTTTATCTGTATAAAACATGTTATATTTAGGTTAATGTATTTTACATTACTTCCCATATTTCATCAGTCAGTGATATGCCCATTACTCATACATTCAATGAATGCTGTACTTCTTAACATGCTATTATTTCAACTACCAACAATCACAAAATAAAACAATAAAGCAATGCTTTGCTTTTTGCCATGCAACACTGGCAGAAACCAGACATAATCAGCAGGAATAGCATCATTTTGATGAATTTCCATCCCTTTATGGCCATCATGAAGAACATTTATCACATATATGTATCTTCAGCTGGGGATCTTGCCCACATCATAGAAGAAAAAAAAAAAAAATGAGGCAAATAGACCTGAGCTCAGGACTATCCTACTCATTCAGCTACTTTATAGCAATACTCATTGCTACAGAGCCACCAATGGCTCAGCAAGTTAGAACTGCCAAGGAACCTGCATTCCCCTTTCAAGTGAGGGTGAAAAAGAAAGTGACACTAATTTAAGTCCAGACTGTTGGCAATGTGTTCCAGGTTTGTATCCACTTCATTACTGTTTATTGACTTACCTGTGGTAAGGCAAACCACAACAAATTAACAGAAAACACTGTACGAGAGTTAGCAAAACAGCACAATCACAGCATCACAAGTATCACACAGGGTCACAGTCTTGTAATTCTCCAAACTGGCTTTTCCTGAAGATTGTGATTGGAACAAAGAATGCATTTTTGTTGTAGAGTGGGAACTAGAGAAAACCTTTCATTTTCTCTCTTTTATGCTGTTCACATTTCTTTAATGCCTTTCTGCTTTGGGCTTGATTTAAAATAAAAATTAAAAGAGCTTTCTTCCGGTTGCTTTCTTCTTATGACACACCTTCATCATCCTTCTCATACACATCATTCTCACTGCATTCTTCCTTATCCAGTGCAGTAAAGGATTCATCCCAGGTACTAAAACTAGCCAAATCCAACAGCGAAAGCACATTTCGTCTTTGTGTGGAAAGAGAAGAGCAACTCCACCATCAAAACTTGATTCTTTGTTCTAAGGTAACCCAGTCTTATTAACAAAAACCAATCCAATACAGCACAACACATCCTTAGTTATGGAAGAATAAGACAAGAGGAAAGCCCTGCTGGTGCTGCAGCTAATGACACTGATCCCTATGCACATGCCATGGCAGAGTGTGTTTTGTAGATCCACTGCTGTCTATGAAAGAGCAGACAACAGCCTCCTCATAGAGAAGAGCTCTTTCTCACTCCACTAGCCAGAGACCTATTTCATTGTGTTTGTAAGGAAAATGTTTTGGACTTCCCATTTCTTAAGAAACCAGGTTTTAAAACAACCACAAACTTAATAAACCATCTAGTGGATTTGTGTATAAATGAAGAAGTGGCCTACAGTCAAAGAGAAAGAATTTAAGAATTTCCTTGTTTTTCTTTTTTTTTCTTTTCTGGAAGGTAACCAAGTTTATTCACAAGTAGTTTCCTCCAGCTGCATGTTTTCCCCCATGGCAGGCACAACAATGTCTGCACCAATACTGAGCCAGCAATGGGTGAGGTTAACAATCATCTGCTGTTAGATGAAATACAGAAGTGAATGAATGCTGCCCATCTCCACCAAACCTAAGAAATATGGGGTTCTTCCTACAAAAAGATGCACAAAAATGCTCACCTACGGGAACACTTTTCAAGCAGAATCAATTTCCCTTTCCAGTTCTCAGTACAGATTCACAAGGCACTGTGCCCGAGAGCACTCAAAGGGTGCTGCAGCTGCATCGGGCAGAACACCTGCAAGCGACAAGACCAAAGCTTCAGCCCGCCCCTCTTCTTTAAAGCCCTCTCGGTTTTCAGTCTACAGCAACTTCAAATCTTCGGGGCTCTAGTCCATTCCATCAAGCGCGACTACAGACGGCCCATGCCCTCACACAGTTCAGGTCGGGAGAAAGGCAGAGTGACTGTTGTGCAAGATCTGACATCTTAATGAGTCAGGCAAGATGCTCCAACCACATAATGGGAAACCACTCATCTCCCCGGGCTGATGAAACAGCCGCTACTCCTCGTGCCTGCCTACTCCGGGCTGAGCTCGCCTTCGCGCTTCGACTGCCTTCCAAACTCCTCACTCAGTGCGAGCGGTCCCGAGCAGGTCGGTACCGGGGCCACCAGCGGTGTCTGCCCCGCGCGCCCCCGCGGCGTGCCGGGGCGCACGCGCGCCGCCTGCGGGCCGCCCCGCCCCCGGCCGAGGGGCCCCGCTCCGGCCCCGCCCAGCCCGCCGGCCTCTGGCACCCAGGGGGCACCGGCGCCGCCTCCCAGAAAAGGCTCTCCAGTAACCCAGCCCTGTCTTATAGGTGGCGCTGGACACGCCCCCAGCGGGGACCGGTTCCTGGGAGCGCGATGGCTTAGGGAGCAGAGGCAGCTGCCCAGGGCCGGGCCTCACCCGACCCGACCCTTCCTAGCTAGAGCGCCCGGATGCCGCTCGGTCCCTCTGAACAACCCCCTCGGTCAGGTGACCGCCGGCCGCTACCCACTGCCCGCCCCCCCCCCCGGGTACCGCCCGCTCGCACCCCTGGACAGAGCGGCGCGGGGGCGCGCGAGGGGAGCGAGCGGCCGCCGGTCCCGGCCCCGTCCCGCGCGCGACCCCCTCGCCTCAAACGCGAGCGCGGCGGCAGCGCGCGGGCAGGCGGCGCGCGCGCGCGTGATTGGGCGGCCGCCGCGCTCACGTGACACGCGCACGCCTCGCGCCACCTCGAGCGAAAAACTTCCAAGGAGAGGAGGGGGGGGACGGCCGGCTCTTACCTGGCTCCGCGCACCGCCCCGGCCCACGCGGCCCTCGCCCGCCACGCGCGACCTCCTGCCGTCCTCATTAGCCGCCGCCATCCATCACGTGCGCTGCGCACGTTCCCTGCCCCTTCCCCTGGCTTCTCTCCCGCCCCGCGAGGCCGGTGCCGGAGCGCGGCCGCGCAGGAGGAGCGCCGGGGGCACCGGGGACCGGCGGCGGCCGCGCGGACCAGCTGCCTCGCGACGCCCCGCCAGCGGCGCGGCGCCGATTGGCCGGAGCCGCCCGCCGACGCACTTCCGCTCCCAGAGTGCCGCCGGCCACGCCCTTCCCGCCCCTCCCCCGGCCGTGCGCGAGGGAGAACACGCCGCTCGCGCGTGGGGCCGCGCGGCAGCGCCTCCCGTGGCCGCGGCGCGCGCGCGCCCTCCCCGAGGGGCAGCCGCGCCCCGAGCGGTTCCCACGGGCACGCCGGGCCCGGCCCAGCCGCCGCGCGCCTGCCGCGACACCGCCCTGCCGCCCCTGCCCGCGGCTCCTCGTCTTTCCTCCGCCTGCCGCGTTTGCAAATCACGGACGGGCGGCTGGTGCGCTGCGGAGTGCGATGTTCCGGCGGTAGCCGGAGCTGCGGGCGAACGCCGACGGAGCGCGGCTGGAGTTCAGAAGGATTTCCCACGCCGTGGGCGCTGCTGCCGCTGGCACAAGGCTCTCGGACCCGGCAGGGCTCCCGGGGACCGGAGTGTTTGTGCAGCGCCCACGGAACTGCACTCACACCGATCCCCCAGTTACCGGGAGCTACGTGTGTGCCGAAAGAGTTAAATAAAAGCCCGTCGGCAAAGGGACGTATTCACTAATACCTCTGAATGTAACAGCCCTGCGTGGTGTAGGCAAAAGGAGATTCTGGATACTCTTATCCAGAAAATCTATATTTGGTACACAATGAAATAATGGAACAAATGTTGATTGAAAAAAAATAATACGTAAACCCCCATGAGCTCTGAGCAACATGGATGTGTGCAGGTTGGCTGAACTGTGTGGCAACTGTAGCTGCATCAATGAGGAAGGTCGGGCCTCCTGTGCAGTCTTGAGCAATAATTTCAAGTTGACTAAGGTAAAGGCAGATGACATGTAATGGAAACTAATTTAAAACTTAAACAAAAGCTGGTGGCAAACAGCACCATATGTAGCCCTGGGCTGAAGTTTCTGTGTTGGAGGTCTTGGCCTCAATAGGTTCTCAGTAATTGCAGCAATCTGCATTCCCCCAGGCATTGTGACATTACTGAGAATGTGTGACAATATAGCTGGGGAATCCATGAGGGAGGTAAAAAGGGAAGTGTCTCATTAGACAAAGATTCATATTTCTGCAAAACTGAACTTCGTGTTGAATAGATACTGAATTGAATGGTTGGTTCTCAGATCTCTGAGAAGATCAAAGATATCTTACATCATATTTGGGGAATCTGCATACAAAGGTTACAGATATGTTTATGGTACATAAATTTTTTTTGTCCTTTTACAACCTTACAGCTGAAGTTCAGAAGGGTTTGGATGTCAATGGAGAAAGCACTGGTGAGCTTAGGACCTGTCTTTTTGGAAATTTCATAGCTTTCTTGAAATTTCTGCTGCTGTAAGGGATGAAGTCCCCCATTCCCAGCTGCAGGATCTGTTTTACTTAATAGGCCAAACAGAGGAAACCTCACCCAAATAAAATTTACTGTTTGACATTAACTGTAACGATGTTGCAAACATATAAAAGGATAAAGAAGTAATGCCAGGGCAATCAAAGATATTGGAGTTGGAAAAATAAAAGATAACCCATGGAGGGGAAGTAAGTCTTTGATAATCTCTCAGGGGGTAAAGACATAATGACTAGAGTGGTTTTGAAGGAAATCTGATGGTGTTTGTTTGTGAATATCACAGAAATGAGCCAAGCGCATGTTACAGCTAAAAGAATAAAAAAGAAAAAGTGTTGGTTTGGTCTCGAAGTGCAAAAAATATCCTTTATTGGAAAGAGATAGATCTCATGACTGCTGTGTTGAAAAAGTTCCTATCCAAGTTATATTGGAAAATCTTAACTTTAAAAATGTACACATTATTTGAAGCAGAGATGCTCAAATTACAAGTGAAATTTTGCAGAAAAAACCTTCTGTTTGTTGGCTTTTGGGGTGTTTTTTGGGGTTTTTTTGTTGTTTTTTTGTTTGTTTTTTTGTTTGTTGTTTTTTTGTTTTGGTTTTTTTTTTTTTTTTGAAAGATAAGTATTGGGAAAGAAGTGCCTGTTCTTCCAGGGGCGTGTTCACCCGGGGACCACACTGCTCTTCAATATCATGTTTACCCAGAGGCTCCCACTCACTGCCCCATTTCTCTCCACCCTCCAGTTCACGCATCACACACATCGTTCATTGTTGGCCTCTACACTTGAAATCAACACCCAATTTTTTCAGTTCTTCCATCCCCACCCATCCCATTAAGAATGATAAAATGGGCCTGGAAATCCAATAGGAGTGCTCCTACCGAGGAGCATATATAGGAAACAAGGGCTTTAAAAAACTGAGCAGAAACAGGCACATCCTTTTATAAGAAGAAATTATGCAGGTTTTGAGTGGGCTGAGCTTGTGGGAGGAAGGAAGTGTGATACAAAGAGAAAGGGTGGTGCTAAATCTGGTCTATGCCTAAGGCTGGCATTTTATTGCCAAACTCATTACCTGCTCTGTTTATTCCTGATGACTGTAGAAATCAAACCCCTATAAACAAATTTTGTTTTCCCATCAATAATATCCATTTATAATTAATCAAAATGTAAAAATAATTACCTTTAAATGACAATAATTGCATTTAACAACCACCACAACCCTTATGTTTGAAGTATGTTATGTAAATGCTTTAATCAATCACTCAAAGCCTGCAAAATGTCAGATTAAGGCTGCAACTTCCTGGGCATTGAGAGAGTCAGGATCATATGAAGAAAATAATGCGTGAATTTTTCATGAAATCAGCATTACACGCATGGGAACCAGATAAAGATCGCTGAGATAATTGTAAAGCTGACATTTACTAGCTTTGCAGCATGGGTTTTGCATTCCAAATAATGACCTTCTTAATAGATGGGAAGGGTTCATTGACGATGGTTGCTTTCTAAGAGTTTCCCTTGGTTACATTGGAGCTGCTGCTATTGTGTATCTTTGTCTCAATTTAAACCTGAACCTCCCCTTTATACCGGTCACCAGAGCCGCACACTACAGTGCAATTGTACAGCAAGAAAGGTTCTTCTTTCCAAAGCCAGAGGCCAGGAAAGAGGCAGCCACTGGGACTGGAGAGGTAAGGTGGAGAGGAAAGCCTGTCCAGGTTTTCTTTAATTCAACAAGGAAAAATGGCACACAAAGCAGAAGACATGTCCCTAACTTTGTTTCTGTTTTTGTTTCACAGATGAAATAAAGCCCCCCAAGGCCTCATCGACTGCTCCCCCCTGCAGCCTTCCTTCTTACATCTTCCTGTCTCCGGACACTTGCAGGAGCCTGTGCTTCTGCTCTCTCTTTTACAGAAAGCTGCAAGGTGGCCAAGTCCTCTCCTTCTCAGGGTTCGTCCCAGCTTCCCTCCACGAGGGCCAGGGACAGTGTCGACCTCCGAATTCCAAGCTGCTGCCTTCCCCAGCCCAAAGAAGGCAGGGCTGAAACAAGGCTGCACTTGAGCTCCTCACCCCAGTCATTCTGCAGAGAGCTGGGAGACCTGCGGCAGCACCCAGGAGGGGAGCTGCTGGCGCCGGCGCGTCTCTGCAGTTTACTCCCGGCACGGTGGCTATTGAACGCACAAACCCTGGGAATGCACCAGTGATGAGACACTGGGATTTGGCTTTCGTGCTGCAGGCGAGTTCCTTAGGGGCACAAGGTACCTTTGGGATCTGGCCAAAGACCATCGCCCGCCGAAGGGAGCAGCCCCGGCCACCCCGGCGGAGCTCTCCCAGCCTCGCTGTCTTTCCCAACTGCTTTGTATGCCGCAGTTTTGGCTGCCACAAGCCTAGCCGAGCCCAGTCTTTTTTCCTTCCTTTTCCCGTTTTGAAGAGACCGCAGCCTAACAAACCCTTTCCTGCCCGGATGGTTCAAACCCACCGTCCCCAGGCCGTGGGCTGCCCCTTCCTCGCGGTGACGGGCGACACCGCAGGCGAGGGGTTAAACCGAGGAAGGCGGCTGCCGGCGGAGCTCCGGGTCAGATCGCTATCGCAGCGCCATCGACCCGAGCCCCGCCGGTACATGGGGGCGGGGGCCGGGGCACAGAGCCGCCCTGCAGGGCTGCGGGGGCACACAGGGCTGCGGGGGGCACACAGGGCTGAGCGAGGGGCACACAGGGCTGCGAGGGCACACAGGGATGTGCGAGGCGCCGGGGCTGCCCTGCGCCCCACGGCCCCCGGGCGGGCGCGGCATCGGGTGCCTCGGTGCCCGCGGCCCAGGGCTCCTTCGCCGCCGTACACACGCCGAGGGAACCCAGACACCGATCGCTCGTCGTCCACGTGAGCGCGGAGCTGTCGCGGAGCCCCGGCAGGGAGCTCCAGCTGCAAACCGCCTGCACACGTCTGCCGGCAGCAGCGCGAAAGCAGCTGCGCTCCTGGCTGAACTTCCCGACAGCACCCAAGCCTCTCCCTGGCTCCTTGAATTATTTCCCTTTAAACTGAAGGTGGTGGTGATTTCTCAGATATATGAAGCCAGTAGTTCTTATGCAGCAACATCGTCATTTAAAGCAGTTTTGAGAGCCCCAAACGATATTACAGATCTAACAGACTCCACCCGTGCCCTGCAGCCTCTCCCGGTGAAAGGAGGCATGAAGCAGGCACAGCTCGTCCCTCCTGCAAGAGGCAGAGCTCTGTCCCTGCAGCCCAGACTGCCACTGGCATACTGGGGTCAAGGCTTGGAGCTTCCCCAAAGCGGGAGGCCTACCCGGTGGCTGACAGGGAGGGAGGAAAAGGGAGAGAGAGGAGGAGGGGAAAGGGACGGGGCAGGCATGAGGCACTGGGGTACTGCTCAGAGGCAGAACAATGGGGTCACAGGTTTTCTGGGTGGGTTGGTAAGCATTCTTAGACTGTCGTGGACCATCTAGAGGCTCCCACACATTGGCAAAATTTTTGCCCTCCCCAAGGGTGTCTGAGTGGTCAACAGCAGGTGAGGGGAGCTCAAGGTATCGGCTGTACCGCCTGGGCATGAGGGCACCCTCTCCCCTCCCCATCTCCCAGCCCCAGCAGCACTGCCCTTGTAGGACTAAGTAGCAGGGTGGACAGTTTTGCCATTCAAAGAAACTCGCTGCCCTAAGCACTTGTCTGCTACCCACATCCTACCTCTGAAGCTGATACAAAGGAAAAAAAAGCTCCTGAGGCAGGTGTGCAATGCAGAGACCAGCTCAGACACCTGGCAGCGGAGCACCAGCTCTCAGAGTCTGGCCTGAGGCAAGGAAACTTGCTCAAAAAGCTACAGCTGCATCAGTGAGCAGTGCAGTCAGAGCATGTTCACAGACCAAAGCCGCTGGCTTTGGCAGCCTACAGCTTGTGCTGTACTCATTTGGGCAGGGATGGTTTCCTCAGTCCAGCTCCTCACCAGGTCTGGGAACTGGCAGCCCTTGGGCAGCCTGCGAGCAGCAGATGCGTTCTCACAGCCCATCTCCCAGCATGTCCTCATCAAAACTCCCCCATCAGTGTGAGGAGGGACTGTCAGGACATTCACTATGAATGCAGCATCCTTGTCTGAAACAAAGACATGCTAAGGTGTCCACTTCAAGTCAGTGTTTTCATGTTACATATTTCACTGAAATAACATAACATTTCATTGCTTCCAGGGAAG